ACGAGTGCTCTGACCATTTTACAGAGATGATTTAACTGATTGGGTTTAAATTTGCTAAAAAGGCAAGATATAAAGGGTTGAATGTTGTACATCACAGGTCATAATACATGTGAATATCGCTTTGTTTTATTTTGTTGGCCTTCAACTGACAGCCATTAATTGTCCTGAAAATCAACATTTGGACATGTCATTAACAGTTTCTGGGGCATGCCTTGACCAATTTAATTCAAGCTTGGTCTTTATACCTGTTTCATGCTAAATACTATCCCAATATTTAAACATAATCTCACTATGCTTTTCAATGTTTGACAAAGTCACTAAAAACATGATGGGGACTATGTCATTGACAATGACTTGGTATCTTTGGTGTCTTAAAATAGTTTTGTTCAGTCTTTCTTTCAAGTTTTTGTCGCATAATTTCGTTCTCCATTTTTCTGGTTCTCGTTTCAATCTATCGCAGTACTTTTTTTACTCTGCCAAATAGATATTAGGGTGCATACCTCTTCGTCAAGCCGGGAATTGCTTGAAATTACGAACGATGTTATCTCAGCCATAATTGAAATGAGAGCTTACTTGAAGATGATTGAGAGTGTGATTTGTGCTCAGATAGTTGGGCAGGATGCTTATACACAGTCGGGGCCATTCTGGAGCTCAACCCTATCGGAGTTCAACCTAAGGGTTTATTGGAGCCGAACTTGGCTCGAGCCGCACGCGTATACACAGCCATTTTTGCTGGTTAGAGCCGCTACTGTCATGTGAACGTAGCATAGGTCTTGCACATGAGAAAAGAAAGTGGGCAAATGTCAATAGTCACTGTACATGTCCATGCTGCAAGAAAAGTGATGAACTTTGTTCTAGATTGTGAAAGCTACAAAGTACATAGGGAAAATATGATGAAAAATATTAGACATATCCTATGTAGGAATGGTGAAACAAATAATTTATGAAGATATTAAAAAAGGGTAAAGCAGTACTATGTTTTCTTTTAAGCAATAGCACCCAGCATCACAATTTGTGATATGTGAAGAAATTGATTAGATTTCTTATTGATGCCATGGATTATAGAAAAGAATATGTAGATTCATTTCTGTTTTACCGGAGGGTACTTTAAAGGTGAACTGCTCAATCCCATGGATTACACCAAAGAATCATGGGACACTATTGTTTATGTTGTTTACAAAGTTAATCTATCTTTTGTTATTCATTGTTATTTTAATCAAGAAAGTAAATTTGTTGTGAGATTAGGCTTAACTGGAAGTGCCCCTTTAAGTTTTAGATTGTCTGTTTCTCTTTCCATTTATATACCAGTAGTATGTGTTTTTTCCAGTAATTTTATTGCAGCTTCTAATTAACTACTATTAGTGAGCTCCTGATGTAAAAAGGTAGCCAACAAATAAATAAAATAAATACACTAGCAATGTGACAACTACTATTAATTGAAATAGAAAAATAATAATAGAAGTTTTTCCCACACTATTTTCGTCTTTATTGATATCAGAAATACACTTTTTTATTTGGTCTAACCATGATAATCAGAATTTCTTTTGAATTTGTGACAGTTGCATGTGATAATCAGTAATGACATTTTGTTTTTTTGCAATTAGGATTACTTGGGTGAGACTCCAGTTCACAAAGCTGCTCGGAGTGGAACTGTTGAATGCCTCGGAATTCTACATGCACATTGTGCACAAATAAAGTAAGTGTTGCTGATTTATTTTGAAAAAAACAAAAACTACCAACTATCAGCGAGAGTTACTATGACTATCATTTACTGTATCTCTACATGACTTGACTGATAGTGTCAATCATATGGGCTTTAACATGACATATTTTAGATTCTGGAAACCATATTTACAGATGCAATATGGATGAGAAAATGTAATGGAAGTCTTTGCGGTTAGTGCATCTGTGTTTATGTATGTGTGTAAAAACCATTTTACAGATTTCAATGAAACTTAGTACATAGATGTTCTAGGATAATGCTCAGACCTGATTAGTTTTTGGTTGGAATCTGTGCATATTTATGACCTAATTTGCATAATAATTAGCCAATTTTAATGCTTTTCACTTTTTTTTCAAGAACCTTTTTACAGATTTTAATTATAATTGATACATAGATGGTTTAGGATAGTGTGCTTACTTCAACATGTTCACACAAGTCACTGCGAC